AAAATGTTCAAAAAATGAACTGACACTAGTATGTGAAGGAGCCACAGTGATGATGTCATGACCAAGACCTCCATCTATTGTATTTCAAAGATATCTACTCAAATGAGCATGCTAACCAACTAGCTGCGTCCCTCCCCATGTTGTAATACCACTTTATGACACTAGATGCTGTGAGTCAGTGTAGCATCTAGTCTGCCCTCAGTCCCATGAAGAAGAAGAGCTTCCTCCAGAGCTTGAAGTTACGGTACAACTCAGACTAAAAAATAAAAAAAGAGCTGCTGACGAGCATCACAGAAACGCAGAGATAGCTGAAACGCCTAGAAAGTAATACAGTAACACCTTGGAGTATTATTCCTGCACAGAACAGATATTGTCTCTACTGTGATCTTCAGCACATCCTGCTCAGCAGGAGTTTTGTACATAGTTTTTTTCATTGTTTTATTAATATGCGTATCTATGTATATTTATCTTTTTGACTGTTGCATTATTTTACCTTGTTATTGTTATTTCCTGTCAACATGTTTATTGTATACTTCACCAAACACCAAGCCAAATATCAATAAATTTTAATCTCTGATTCTGCCTTTGTGATGATGTCATCATCCCTTCCTCATGCTGCTGTAGCCTGTAGACACCCATGTGTCATGCAGTATCCCTTTGCCTTCACATTTTATAGGTAAATAAAAACATACTGTATAACAAGTACTCATAAATTGTTTCAGTGCTGTCAACAATTTTAACTATCAACAATAAAAGCACATATAAATAATAAATTCTAAGGAACATGGGGAAAACAACAAAATGATTAACTGGACAGGGGCGAAGGTGAAATTCTATGGAGGTGGAGAAAGTAGCACGATCTTACACATTACACCTTTACGCTGGGTCAGACACCAGAACTGATGTGGTCCTGTGGATAAGCCCACCATTGGACAGGGTCACAAAATTTTGACATCAACCTAACCTAGAAAACCAAACCAAACATCTAAGTCTGCACTTTGAGTCTAAGGCTGCTTAATGTAGTCACAATACCAAAAGGCAGAAGGGAAATTTTTATGAAACTTACAAGTAAATGACAACTAACTAATTAAAACAACTAAAGGCTTCAGTATGCTTCAGTTGAAGCTGAAACCCTCTTCCTGATGGAAGAATCAGAGGGGAGGTGAACATGTCTGCCTTTAGAAGTGGTCAGATGTGGATGTCATATTACCTGGTTCATTTCAAACATTCTGAGAGCTTAAGGCTTTTGCAGCTGTTTTTCAGGCCCTGATGTGACACACTGTATCCCAAAAACATGCTGAAAACTGCCCCAAAAATCTTTTTCACCAATAGTTGTCTAACGTAGAATAAAGGCAATGCTGGCAGATTAGTATATACTAATATTTTCTTTCTTTCAGCTTCCTTGCCTCACCCTCAATACCCTTTTATTACAAATAGTTTGTTTTTCATAAAACATTTGGTCATTGCCTGACTACCATTTTAATTTTCTCTTCATTGTAACCTCATGCTCAACGTGTCTGTGACAGCCCATTAAGATGCTAATATACACAAATAAACTTGTCTTGTCTCGACTTTAATGGTGTCAGAATATTCATAGAGTCACATATTTCAATCTGCTGGCTGTCCTGATCAAAATAAACCCACACAGCACAATTATCACCAGTTCTGTTTAGCACCATGTGTGAGTATCTGCAGCACAGAGCATGAATGCATTTGGTGGAAGCAGCTGGAAAAGCAACACAAACACAAGACAATGGGATGACAGATGTTTTTTTGCTTGGAAACAACTGTAAACATTGATGAGGACAAAGCCAAAATTCACTGGCCGCTACCCACCACATGCAAACATCATAAGAGGAAAACGCTGGCCAAAACTGTTGCTCGCCTTTCATAGCTGTCTTGAGGTCTGAACAAGCCACTGTGTCAGTGTATGAAGATGGAGTGCAACAACCGTGGACTAACAAAAGAGTTGGGAACCAGCTACTGCTGTACACGCAGGTCATGTAGAAAATAACAATAAAACGTATAAATAATTCAGAAATCTTGCTACTTTCACCACTGAATGCAAATGTCATTTTTTTTTCATGGGTCAGTCTCTGGCCAAAAGCTCCACTTGAACATCAACTTCTGCTCTATTGCTGAAACACAGCTCTGAGGCTCAAAACAGCGAATAGCAACAGGAACGTCCTCTCACTCAGTTTGCCTCTGAACCGACTCCAACAGAAGCAAACTTGAACATGACAACAGCCAATTTCCTGTTGTCCTCCCACATACCCAATCTTAATTGCAGACAAGATCCACCCTGCTTAGCGTTTCTGGACCTTGTAAGCCAACCAAAGTCCCCTTTATAAAGCTTTCATTAGCTACTGATGACTGTGAGTGCCTGCTGGGGCTGGTAGAATTTGGCCTTCATTAACAGGCCTGAGTCATACAAATGACTGTATGAGCCAGTGTGCAGCCTGCTCAACCAGCCAAACATCCAACTGAAGACGAGATAAGTATTTATTTGATGTGCTCCGTTCTACTCTGCCCTGCTCTGTTTTGTTTTTGTTCAGTTCTTTCAAAAGACACTGGCTGCAAATGTCAAGTGATATGTCGCAGTAACAGAATCCCCTGACAGCGTGTCATGCGGTTTGTCTGATACCAAAATGGTGGTTTTGTGCTCTGCCTCATTCCATGGGCAATAAGTCTTTGAAAAGAATGATTCACTGCCATGCTGATGACATCTCTGCTTGATGGCCTGCAATCCACTGTGCACTGTCTGACAGAACTTCTTCATTACTTTACTCTGTGCACAGACTCTGTGAGGGCAATAGGAACGTCTATTCCCCATTCCCATTTTTACTCAAATCCGTAAAACAGATGCAGAGCGCCAAAAATACTGTGCTTGTTGCTCATTAACTGAAAGGAGCTTGGACTATACATTGGTATTCCATCAGTTCTGAAAACATCATTATGGTTATTTAGATTGTTAAGGCTCTGTCCAGGGTGCTCTCTTTTGCTAATGAAAGGTTTTAGGTAACCTGTTGTCAGAGGGTTAATGTATAGTTTACCTATATTTAAACATTAAAACAAATCTTTCATTGCAGCTAAAAGAATAATATTTCCTATTTATTCAATTCAATCCACATATTTGTCCTTGGCAAAGAATTAAACATCCATATTTGGCACAGTGCTCTAATGAGCACTTTCAGGTGGAAAAGCATCATTATTGTTGAAAGTTGAAACAAGGCACCATGTAAGTTTAAACAAGCAATTTGCAAGTCAAGATGCAAGTCTGAATGAAGTCTCTGAATGCTGACCATTAAAATGACACATCATTTGAACATTTCAGTGCAATGCTTTCATAATTAAATAGTCAGAGTATGTGGCCATGCAAAGCCTCTCACTGTCTTCATTGTTTTTCTTCAGGTGAAAACACCAAACTTGTGTGACAATGATTTTGCTTGTAAGTAAAATCTGTAGAGAGGAAGTCTTGAGGAAATGGCTTCACAGAGTTCAAGTCCATGTCAAGCCTTAAGTCCTTATTTTTCTGAAGTTAATCTTAAGTCTTAGTCTAAAGTCTACAGCTGGTGATTTATAAGAATCCCAGAGCTTTTAACGGTGGAAATACTTAACATTTAGTTTTTACTTTTGAATTGTGAATACAGCTTTGCTCAGATGATACAGTGGAGCTTCTACAGACCAGTGTGCTGTATGTACATCAGGGTATGTGGGCAGTGCAGCGTGATTTGCCTGCAGTGTGGAGCGACTCTTTTTTTCTAATTTTTTTTTTTTAAGTCATTGCATCAGTGTCCTCTCTCACCCCCAAATACCACTTCATCTCTCGAGCGGAACACATGCTAATGGTCTGTAATGCAGCTAATGGGCAGCATTAACCACAGTGTTACAGACTCTAATGTTAACATTATGGTGACAAGAAAAAAATGCCCTGGTTCCAAGCCCTATGGAGCACAATGCAGCGGGTTTTGTCTCAACGTGACTGAGGAGTAGCGAACAGAAAACCTCCAGCAGCTGGGAACTAAGTGATTACAGAATCTGTTGAACAGGAAGTGGGAATTGCTGCCACTTTGCATACTTCCAATTTTCACAGGGCAAACCCGCTCACACCAAATTAGGGCTTTCTAAATTTACACATTTGTACAAATATAGGCAACAGTATAATGAATAGAATTGTCCTTGTTCATTGTGAATTACAGCAAATTAATATGTGTTTAACTGTTGAATAGTTTCTTAGTGTGTGCACTGTACTATGTCGTGCATTGTGTTTGTTTCTTAACTCTGAATAACACTGAATGTGTGTTTTCTTCTGTTTTTAAGGTGCCCCTCAAACATCTGAGCAGGAAGTAGAGATGAAACTGTTCGCCTTCTAGACTCATGTACAACAAATTTTCGTTTGATGAGCATAAAAGATCATGTTGAAAGAGAGAGAGAGAGAGAGAGAGAGAGAGAGAGAGAGAGAGAGAGAGAGAGCATGAAATGCAACAAAGGTCCCTCTGCAGCTGCAATTAAACCAGGGACATTGTGGTACACATACTATGAGCACTAGAACATTAGAAGGGTCCAAAATTAAGTTCTATTATACATATACAAACATACACTGATGCTCATAAAATATTTTTTACCTCTTTCCATGAAATGATTGTGACAATGTGATTTATTTCATTTCACCTGGGTAATTGGGACACATAATGTAATCATTGCACCTGGTCAAAAGTGATTACTGATGCATTTAAATAGGAATAAACAGAGGATTGTGTCTGAAAACAAAATTATTGTAACTTTATGGGCGACAGTGTATATTATTAAATTATATTATATCATCCCTTCTAAGTCCTTTCATCATTCAGAAACCAATAAAAAAGACCCACTAATACAACGTGCCTTTGAAGAAAGTCTCTGGGCCTTCTATCTCTTGCAGCATCACTGCCCATATATTATAGTAATGGTGATATTAGAAATAACACATAAAGCTTCTTGTTCCCTGGCGAGGTCCTTACCTTGCAGGGCCTCCTTGGCTCTGTCCAGCTCCTGCTCCTTCTGAGCCAGCTGCACACGGAGTTCGGTGGCGGAGAGCACGTCGGCTGAGCAGCCTCCCTGGGTCTCCTCCAGGTCCTTACTCAACATGTCCTTCATCTGCCTGAGCAGGTGCACCTCCTCCTGGAGCTGGGCCACCTCCTCACGCAGCAGGACTACAACACAGAGAAGAAAGAAAGTTTTACCTGGCTGACATCAAATCATGGCCCACAATATTCTTAGGGAAAATGTGTGTGGTTTTGATTTTGCCAGGCAGCTTCGACAGTGAATCCGTTTTTAAACCTCAGTAAAAATGTAATTCCAGTAGCTAGAGAAGGGTCATATGCATAATGAAATCCAATCTCATACAGGTACATTTGCTTTCAATAGCAACATGACTGCGGAAATGGTTATGTCTGAAATGCAAAATCGATTTAATACCACCATAGGAGGTTATGGTTTCATTTGTAATTGAGATAACAGCAGTGCCAAATTACTGTTGGTAATGAGCATCATAGGGGTAGGTGGGGTCCAGTAGATGTGTAGAGACAAGGCATTGATATTATAATGAAATTTGTCTTTGAAGCTTCCTATTGAACCTGCTCTGTGTTGTGAAGAATTATGAGGTGTATCCATTTAATATTCAGCGACTGGTGCGTTACAAAGCTCCTCCCCGGTGTTGTTGCAAAGAAGCAAACAATAAAATGAAAACAGCAGCAGAGAGAATTGATTTTGCCTCACAATCTGAACCACTGGAAATGTTTCAAAGTGCTTTTAAAGTAGCAGCAGCAGAGATAGAACTTCACTCGCTTTTAAAACAAGCCACAACAGACAGATGTCACACTTCAATTTCTCAACCCTCAAATGCTCAAAAAAGAAATATTCAATCTAAAAATATGTCTTTTTTGCACACTGAATGTGCTTGTCTAGGTGGAGCATATGGAGAGTAATTTATATAAGAATGAGTAGAGTCCTTCTACTCAATTTCATGCATCCTCAGGGCAGAGAGGGGGGTGGGGGGCTGGGGGAAACTGCTCAGCCCCATCTCACATGGCTCCACTATCAAGTGCCTCACATAAATCACACTTCATACTCCTCATATCCCAGCTCCGATATTACTGTCTGAAAAAATAAAATCAATCAGAGATGAATGGCAGAACTGAGAATAGGAGACAGAATATGTCAAAAACAGACACATTCAAGGCGGATGATTATTTTGAAGTGTGAAAATGTAAAGTATGAGCCAACATACAGAGCCAGAAGTGCTTATCCAGCGATGTTAGCCAATTCAGCAGAACAGCAAATGCTTTGCATTCTGCTTAGTATCAGTAAAATAATCCTCTCATACAGTAAGTTAACTCAAATTGCCCATTTTACACAGTGTTTTTCACCATTATTACACCGTGGCATGATTAAGAAAAGTGTAAGAGATCATTTTGAATATGCTGAATAACTTTATATTTCCACCAAACAATGTTAGACCATTAAAGTCCAGTATTCTCCACTTCAAAGTGGCAATAACTGAGCCCTTTATTGTTAAGTTCTATAATTATGTACTTCAGGGGGTGGGCAGCAAACTAAGAAAGTCTGTGCACCCTGAAACTACCTCTCTGTGCATATGGAAATTAAGTTTGAATCTTGCGTCGAAGTGCAGACTGGAATTACACCAGACTGTGTGACCCAACAGATTCTGTGACCTGATGAGGAGTCTCCCCCTCACCATCATCATGGTTGTTTTGATAGATTCGCTCAAAATTTAAATAGCTGTGACAGAAGAAATGTTGCCAGTACAATGGAGGGACTATTTGACACTAACACCACATATGTCAATATTTAGTCAACCTGTCTAGTGTCCTAAAAATTGGATGGGTCACACTGGAAACTATTTTACACTTACCTTAAAGGAAATTTCATTATTTAAAAAAAAAATACATTGTCTGCAAGCAAGAGTTTAGTTTATCAAGACTAGTAAAAAAGTTAAAATAACATTTTGGTTAAATTTGCCCACAGTTAGGGTTGATTACAGTACACAGAGGATCTTTCTATAAAAATAAGGAACTAGTCTGTCATCTATAGAGGGTGCTTCTGTTGTTCTGCAAAGACAAAATGCAAATACAAAATACCTAATATATTGTTCCAAATGACAGCAATACTCCAACCATGGCCTAAATTATTGCGTTAGTGTTGAATAAACGATAAACTTCACAAAACCAGTATTCACTGCGTGGACATTGTAGAGATGTTCACGTCTTTTCTGTCACTTTCAAAAACATTCAGAGTATCAAATGTCACCAGTGACACATTCATTGTTGTAGTATGTTACTGACTGACTGACACCTACTATATGAATGACACATCTATCTTTCATCCTGTGGTTGGATCATGGCACCAACAGGTCAGGCTTCACTCCTCTTACAGCTGACTTGGTGTTATACTCCCCTCTCCCCCTCCTGCACCTACAGTAGTGACTGATATGTTGCATACGGACACCACAGACATTCAACACTACAATAAAACTGTGACTACGAACTAAAATGGAGGACATGTGGTGTATGCACCTTTGTTTTACTCACACTTTAGCTCCCACCATAACCCTAACCTTTAAGACCAGTTCACCGCCTGTGCTGTAGGTATATCTGCTTCCCTGGGCTTTTGAATGTGTTAATTTGTGTTCACCGACTGACTGAGGAAAAGGGCTGCACGCTAAATAATGAAAATGAAATGTAAAAGGGGTTATTAGGAGAAGGGTCGAGAGAAAAAACGTCAGTGTGTGAAGTGTCATTACGCAGAGGTATACTTAATGGACCCGATAATAGAACCACATTTTACGGAGCAACTGAAGCAGCAACACCCTTATTGGCAAACCAAAGAGGTGGCACATTCTGGAAAGACATGACCACAAGATACAGTTCATTGGTGTTTAAAAATCTTATAATAGTCGCATACTCAATTTGAATACTTATTCATGAAGTGTGCATGCATTGATTGTACAAAGGCAGCAAAATAGGGAGTCATGGATAAGGGACAGGAGACTGAAAATGTGGGTTTTATCTCTAATAGCCAGCCCATAAACACTGGCTAACAATTACGGCTGATATGACCCTCACTCCCTTATAGAATAAACATACATCCTGGCTTTCATCAGCAGTTTTCCCAATTGTGAGACAAATTGCTGTAGATGTGTAGAATCTATAAATGGGGGGACAGGTTACATAGTAAATTGGCTGCCTATTTGTGTCTGCTATAGAAACTGCCCATACTAATCATAGAGAAACAGCATTTACTGTAGTTATTATGCATCGCTGAGCTCGATAAAAGACTCAGACCAGCTCTGACCCTTCAATTCCAGTTAAAAACTTTTACTTGCTGAGTTGCCTTTAACCAAAGATGAAGTATCTTATCCACCTTGAACTTACATCCTGAATTCATTCTGCTCATTGCTGTCTTTTCAAATGTTGTTTCTCCTTTGAATTAAAGGCAGCTTTACTATTTCTACTCCACTACACTTCAGTTAGAAATGTTGTCTTTTTTCACCCCATTACATTTATCTGACAACTATAGTAACCCAAACCCTAAACCTATAGTTACTTTTCAGATAAACATTTCATGTTTCAAAAAATGATAAGCTAATAATATGTATTGGATTGCATAAAGATGAAACCAGTGGTTTTGGGCTTGTGACTCCTCACAAAAATGTGCTGTCAAATTTCCGATGAGTTGTTATAGCATCACCTCACAATCCCTCAGATTTATTTTGTGACTCTTTCTTGTGAAAGAAAAGAAAATACCTCAGTCAAATCCCTGCTTTCAAGCTGAAGCCAACTGTGTGTATGCTACACCTGTATGATGTAGAGAACATGCTGCACACAAATATACCAATTCTCACCATTGTCTCTCAAAGCTCTCAAATATTTATGAAGACAGAGCTACGTGATGATAAAAATAAGCCTATGAAAAATATGGGGAAGATTTGGATTTTGCATCCTCATACTGTTGCTTCCCGACTTCAATCAAACCCTTGCTGACTCAGTTATGTGCCAAAACACACACAACAACCAGGTGGTCTCCATTCAAACCTGTTTGTTCGGTTGAATTCCTGCACTTTACCAGCAAGAGGACACTCAACATCTATCAGAGAAAACACTCGATTAACTGTCTAAATATGGCACAGTAGTTATTAGCAGAGTGCGTGAGGTGGAAGCAGATATGTTATTGTCTTCTCCAGCTTTCTGTAGGCGAGCATGGTGCTGGAGCACTCTAGATAAGACTGTCAGAGGTTGTGTGTGTGTGTGCGTGGGGGGGGGGGGGGGGGGGGGGGGGGGGGGGGGGGTGTTGGTGGAGGGGGACGTGAAGACAGCCACCTATTTTTCAATGTCCGCATAGCCTCTAGGTCGGCAAGAGGCACGCTGTGTAGCTCTGCAGCACAAATGACAGTCAGAGTGGGAGCTTCCTGATAAGTGCTATCTCTCCAGCTCTCCCTCCGGAAGGTGAAGGTTTGGGCATACGTGGTGACAGTGGAGTGGGCCGATCCCAATCGAGACCAGACCCAGAGGTCATGGCCAAGGTGAGCTTCAGAAAAATAGTCCTGAAATGTCGCTTGGAACAGACTGGGCAAAACAGTGAAGATGGCACCGTTAAGGAGAAATAAAGGGCTGAAGATGTAATTGCATCTTCACGATGATAAACTTAAAGAGGAGACGAGAGAGCAGAGGAGAGAGAGAGATGAGGTGGGACCTTCTGCTCCGTCCATCTGTCAGCAGGTGAAGGTTTATTTGTGAGAAACCTCGGCCAACGGTGGTCACAGAGGAGATCCTGGAGAAGTCCCTTCAGTGAGTTTGGAAACCTGAGCGAGTTAAGAAACTCAATGAGGAGACTATGCTTTCATTCACTTTTGAAGAAGAGGGATGGTGCAGTGAAGGGTACCCACTTTCTGTACTTTGCTGTGTTGTGCATATTTCAGCCTCAGGCCTGAATCTGAATACAGTTTGTTGAAACCAAAAATCATGTACAACAAATTTTCGTTTGATGAGCATAAAAAGATCATGTTGAAAGAGAGAGGAGAGAGAGAGAGAGAGAGAGAGAGAGAGAGAGAGAGAAGAGAGAGAGAGAGCATGAAATGCAACAAAGGTCCCTCTGCAGCTGCAATTAAACCAGGGACATTGTGGTACACATACTA